CACGAGTAGTAGTAGTACTAGTACGTCGTTACACTTACAGTCATTGTGCTCAGAGTCAAACCCATTTTGTTCTCACTGCTTAAAGTCTCAAAACGGGTTTATTCAAACAATACGACATGGAAACCAAAGAAAACCAAAGACACAAGGGATGAAACTCGACGATGAAATCAAAATGAAAATTTGAAAATATTCTAATCCAAAGAAACTCAAGGCAAATGTAACAAGGTTGTGTAAAAGATTCAACTCAATCCCTAGATAGACGAATGCTTTGAAAGACTGCGTACAGTCTAGTACAGTGTATTGTACTTAGGGGCGAGCAGCCCGGCACCAAGGGCATGGCGCCACTCATATCACATACAGACGAATGAAGCCCAATAAGTCACCTGCATCGACCGGACGTGCTTTGCCATGTAGTTCTGGTAGGTGGTAAAATCCCTTGGTGAATTTGTTGGAACAGCCCTTGGTGAATTTGTTGGAACAGCCTTTGGTGAATTTGTTGGAACAGCCCTTGGTGAATTTGTTGGAACAACCCTTGGTGAATTTGTTGGAACAGCCCTTGGTGATGCAGAATTCTCTACAAAGACAGAAGGCACAGGACGGCGTGAAAGTCACAAGACACCGAGAGTACTTCTGAAGGGTTCGTAGTCCTCCATCGTCATAGCATTGTACCACAACCACACACTGGTATAATGACCTCCCTTGCCCGTACGTATTAGACAGTTTGTGCATGCAAGCTCAGGCCTCCGTTACGCCTACAGTTGTAGCCTAAGATCTTCCGCATTGAGCTGGGAATGAGATCTTGATCTTGTGATAAACAGACCGCCCGTGCTGTCAACAAGTCTTCGTCAACGCGTGAGCACTGAGCAGTTTGTGCACAATACATGCTCGGACGGCTACCGCCCCCAGGATTGCGCGGATACATCAACATGGCCTCCAGTATCCACACAGAATCTGTGTCTGTGGTACTACAGGAAGCGACCACAGCTGAGAACACAGCACTTCAAAACGCAGTTCGCGGGAACCACCGCAATACTATGAGCCAGAGTGCAGAGTCTACGGACAGGTTAAAAGCTCACATTCTTTAGCCTAAGGCAGATAGCCTAAACAGGTTATAGAGTGGGCTGTTGACGTGTTGACAGACCAGACCGACAGACGGTGTCGCTGATACTACTACTAGGTCATGCACTTACTAGTTTAAAGTACATGACTGACTGACTGACTGTCTGTAATACTAATACATGTACTAGACATGTAGACCTACCACACTCCACAGATACTGGTAGCAAGGCTAGAGCCTAACCAGCACTCTCTGTCACCGTCCCTAGCATAGCCATAGGCTTGCCTTCACCAAGTAGGGGTAACACATACTACAACTGTATGCTACATGTACTCCCTTTTCCTTTTCCACCTGGACTCTGCCTTGGTTTCCCTTTTCTATCTAGCTATTCTCTTGTACCTTCTTGTAATTATTCACTAAATATGGGGCTTTGAATAAATCATGGATTCTATATTCTAATGTATCTTCTACCTCTTCTCCCCTGCGAACATACTTTCTCATTTTCCATACTTCGATAGGCATCTATTTGCCTCTGGAGGATCCGTGAAATAAAAATCAATCAAATTCAAGCATCATACTACAGTCGACCTACCCTTATAACGATAACCCCTATAACGATAATTATTACCCTTATAACGATATTTTTCTGCCAAACCAAATCACTCCACTGACTTGCGTATACAATGCCTTACCTCTATAACAATATTGCTATAACGATATTACCCCTATAACAATATAAATTGGGCTGACCAATCGACATTTTCCATTTTATAACAATATGCAGCAGGGGATATGTACAGTCCACTGTCAAGGTAGGGTAAGCTTCACTTGATAAGTCGCTGGGACAGGACGAAATGCAATTGGGGCACCAGTGGGCACCTTGCCATGTACATAATGTGCATGTACATAAGTTTTTGACTCTATGAAGAGTGTAAAAAATGAACTAAACTCATGCATTATGACGTACATGTACAGTATGTGTATGAATGAAGCAGTTACCCTTATAACAATATTACCCTTATAACAATATTTCTTGGTCGGACGCAAATATCGTTATAAGGCCTTTAAGGGTAGGTCGACTGTACTCCCTGGCTGCTATCTGAGAACGGGTTTATGGCAACAGTCTGGTCTTGCCTCTTGAGTCTTGGCCTGATCACTGAGCTCTACTAGTACTACTACTACTAGTACTACTAGCTCTACATCTGGTGCATGTTGTGCTAGTACTACTACTAGAAGTAGAACTACAGTAGTAGTAGTGTGGTAAGGCCATACCATGACTTGATGCGGCATGCCATCATGCACGATGTGGTGACAGATGACAAGAAGGCGACGGCCAGATGATCTGGGCGGCCAGCGGCTGCGCGCCTTCACCAGATGTTGAACCAGAAAAGAGAAAAAAAAGCGCCAGGCCCCAGCCACCAGGACTCGAACCCGGGATCTTGCTTGTCGTGAGCAATGCTCTAGCGCTATGGCCAGTTGTTGTTGTCCGATCTTTTCACAACAATCCCCTCTCCATTCTGTCTTCTTTCCTCTCCCTATAACCTCTCATGGTGCGCAAGCTGCCAGTAACACCAAGAGTATAATTATAACCCCCGGGGGGTTATATACTCTTGGTAACACCGACATGACTACAGCTACAGGTCGGGGTTGTTGGCTTGCCTGACCAGCACAGGTTCCTTCTTGGAGCCCCTTACTTTTCCCATTGTTGTATTGTCCTGCTACTTTCTCTCCACCTTTTCTTCCCGTCGGAATAGGGTGTGTCTTCAGTAAAAAATCACCCTATAAATGCTAACCATGTCGTTGTCTCAGGATGATGCCTGTAGTGCATCCAGACTGGTGCATCGCGGCCAAAATCGGGCAACCTCAGCACTGCAGAGAGAGATACAGCGTGATGATGGCAGGTATGGTGGGGTCACCGGTGCTGGTATACTGGTAATCCCTACCCTTTGCCGCGGGTGGACAAGCCCACACGGCCAATTATTTGGGGACAGTAACACCGCTTCCTTAGACGGACAAGAAGGACATGTACTACAGTGTGGCACTGAAGTCCTACCTACCAAATGGCTTCCGATGACTTTCAATCAGTGGCGTGCGCTAAACACCATAGATCTAATAGCAACAGTTACACTACCCCGATCCTGGCGGAACCCACACGGATACTGGATGATGAGATCAGGCAACACATCCTCTGCAACAGAGACCAGTAATTCGGTATATTTCGTATTTCAAGGCATACCGTGCCCCGAGGCTATAGGTATTATTGAGTAAAGGACCATTCTGGAACATTCAGCATAATCATAATGTATTATGAATTTCTCTAGCTAGGCTGTTCATTACGAATCATTAGCCCTCCACTGTCTGCTATCTCAACCCTACAGCCTCCGCAGCTCCCACTATAATGGAACTCCCTTCAATTTAGACTACGTCTTTGGGAAATCCTCAAATATATATATACCGTAATAATAATACTGAGTTATGCCCTTCAGGATCCTGAGGGTGAACTCATATTCCAGGATCCAAGCCTACTGTGCAATATTCAAGGCTGGTGAACACCTTGCAGGATCTTGGTGAATACTGGGCCTTGCTAGCAACTGCCAAGGTCCAGCAGTAGGTTATGCCACAGCTTGCAAGGCTGAAGAATTGATCGTCACTCACTATTCAGACTGGTCAACACCGCACAGCTATTTGAAGTGTTTTTTTCTGGCCAGTGAATCCCTACTTTTTGGTCTTTTTTCCCCCGCACACACATCACACCACATATCACAGCATGTAGTTGTTGGTAACCACCCAGGAGAATGAAAGAGAAGGCAGGAGACTGAGAAAGAGAAGAAAGACGTGTGTGACCATAATTGTCGGGAATTGAACACGCAACTTCTCGGTTGGAAATCGACTGCACGTATCACTGAACAATATGGGACGGACACACACACACACACACACACACACACACACATATTATACTGAAGTAATACACACACACACACACACACGGCACACGCACACACATGGCACACGCACACACATACACCTCAAGCACTAAGGCCGATTTAGACGCAGATGACACATAGAATTCTCACTGTGCACACAATGTGATTGAGATGCATGCAGTCCAGACGCATCAGCCGGATAGAGCATACACTTGATCACAAGATCATGCACCCGGGATTGTCTTTACTGCTGCCGTACACGGAAAGCAGTGCTAATCCTGCCCAAGGGCAAGAGACTGGCACAGTAACAAACCTACAACAGCATCCGGCTAGTGCATCACCGCAGAAAATCATCAAAGACAGCGGAAACTGCTGACAGAGAGTAAATTGGTACGTATGAACGAACGCTATGGTGTTCGCAGCAGTCGCAGCCACAGCAGCAGAAGCTAAACGCGAAACGAAAATGACGGGTACTAACTGTGGCACCCCAGTGCTCTCAGGTGGAAAGTCTAAATGCTGTTACTACCTTGTGGTTGGAAAGCAACATGCATTTGATGTAGAAAATAAACTCAGTATAAAAAACATCTCTTTGCTACGGGTCAGAATCAATTGCAGTAAGAACAAAAGGGCAAAAAATCCGGGTCAACTCTAAACATCTGTGTAAGAAGATTTTTCACAATAATAGCATCTCAGAGATAAGTACATGTACTTCGAAGTACATTCATGTGCTAGCAGGGGTAAAGGAGGAAAGTCGCATGTACCACGCGCCAGCATAGCTACAGCACAACAGGAACATCAGTCGGCAAACTGGCCGCTCAAGTAGCGTTGCCATGCGTGATATCCAAGACTTAGAGTTGGAAACAGTTGGAGGATGTATTAGAAAAGGCCCCCAGTAGGCTGGAGTCGGCAACATGCAAACAAGCTGCGGTCGCCAATTCATCATCACAGCCTCAGCCTCTCCATCACTGCTAGTAGTACTAACCAATAATTCTAACAGTTCCTGTCACGGTACTGCACTATACACTGGATACACGCGCTGGCAGTGGACCGGACGGTACTGCTGCTGCTGCTTTGCTTGCTTCAAGCTGTTCTGCCCAGGCGTTGACGAGCATCTGATTGTAGTTGGTGATGGCGTTGACACTCTCGAAACACGTCGCCGCACCCGTGTACCATGTGCTGTACTCGCCCTGTCGTTTCAGCAGTCGCCACAGTATGCCGTCGCAGAGCGCGCTCTGGCTGTGGCGCGGGAAGTATGGCCAGACGGTGCGCTTCTCGATACGTACAATCTCCAGCGGCGAGCCGCCGGGTATGTGCTGGGCGTAGTGCTGCTTGAACGCCCTGGATGCCTCGGCCTCGGCGTCCACCACCGCACTGTCCAGGTCGGCGTACTGGTACACCACCATGCTGGCGTGCAGCTCGGGACGCTTGATCGGCTCCAGCTGGCCGTCCTTGTGACGCACGTGGTGCGAGTCCCTCGAGGTCCACACCGAGAAGGGGGGTCTTTCAATGGACACGTTGCCCAGCCAGCTGTCCACGGCTTTCTCCGTATTTTTCTTCGGTGGTAAATAGTTGCATAGAGTAGTGACAAAGGTAGCGGCTCGAAGGCCGCTGAACAATCGCTGCTCATCCTCCTTGTCATCCAATAGCGGCAGTATGTTCTGCATTGGCGCCGCCACCACCAAGAAGTCAAACTTCTCCTCCGTAGCCAGGGCCGTCATTGTCGTTCCATCCTGGACTCGTCGGCGAGTGTGATACGTAATGGAGACACCGTTCTCATCTCGGACAATGGGTTTGGCAATGTCGACGTTCATGCGACACTCGATGCCAAGCGACTCGTCCCTGACAATGCTTTCCCATAGCTTGCCCCAGCCTGCCTTGAGGATGGTGATGCTGCGCTCGTGCGTACCCGCCTCGCAGTGCTTATCTGGCAGCTGTGAGCGCACCTTGAGCTGCTCAACAAGGCCAACAAGCAGCTTGGGAGTGACCCAGAGCAGGCCGTACAGCGCCGGCGTGTGCTCAATATAGCCGTAACCTTGCATGGTGTACGCCAGCTTGAAGATTGGCTTCAGAGAGTTGCAGTCGATCTCGGTTAGGTAGTCGTCTATGGAACAGTTCAGCTCCTTGAGTGTCTCTGCCGATGGCTCGGCCATCAGAAACCCTTCATAGCGTCCGAACAGGCGATGGTGGTTGCGAATGTAATGAACGCACTCCTGGAGCAGCCGGAGCGCCACTAAGTGATTGCTTTTGCAGGCCTTGGCGATCTCCGCATTGAGCCACTGCTGGAAATCGACACCCTGCGGCGCAGGCTTGTCCGCATCCCAGACCGTGCGCCCAATCACTCTCGCCTGATCGTCACACTCATACTTGGCTAAGAGCTGCTTGATCTCGGCATAGTCCGGACTTAAATAGCATGTGCCCATCTCCTGCACCATGCCGTCCTCCTGTGTGAATGAGCAACTCTTGCCGCCCACACGATCCGTCTTCTCGAATATTGTCAGATTCTTGAAGCCGGCCTGCGACAGGGTGTAGGCCATATGTACGCCGGCGGGACCCCCTCCAATGATGGCAATCCGCGAAAACTTGGACTTTGGCCCGCCCGCCAGTAGGAGATCCTTGCTGGCGTTGGCGCCTTCTTGCCCGTGATATTGCTCAAACAGTTCCAAGACAGCAGTGGCAACAACAGCCTTCGCGTTCTTAAACACCTCACCGAACTTCAGTCGCTGCTCGTGGATCCATTTTTCGATCGGGTCAATTAAACCATCCGGGCGATCATCTTCATAGCAGGACTCTGCGCCCATCAACAGATCTGCCTTCCCCACCTTGGGCTCGATCTCAACTGAGAATATATCTGCCATTTCCGAAAGAAATTATTTCGACGCCAATTGATAGCCCGCGCCAACTTTACCTATCACTGGTAGTGGTACTCCCCTCTGCGGACGTGAACTAAGTCAAAGAACTTCTGTTTGTACCGTGACGATGATCTACCCTGGATTTTATACCTCCAATCGGCCAGCTGAGTTTGATGGTGTTTCCCCGAGGCTGACGCAGCAGCATCGAGGTCGCAACACTAGTCACTAGCGTGGAGCCTGAGCGTTGGTCACCTATGTCCTTCCGGCTATGACTCAGTCACGTATTGCGAAGAGCAACACAAGGCCAACTATTTCCCTTGAGCGTAGATCTACAAGTGGAAAGATCTATTGCGAGTACAGTCTGTATCGGCTATAGAGTGACCGGATATAAGAATATATCGGCTACAGTGATATTGGTACGAAATATCAAAAGCAAAACGTATTTTATCCAGTACAAATATCACTATAACCAATATTATCGGATGTAATGATATATCGGATATTATGATGGCAACATAGAATCAAAACATGCATAACACACTACATTATAATCGGCTATAGTGATAACTTTAAAATACATGTTGCAATAATATCAAAGGCCCTATTTTTTTTACTTTCTTCACGTTGCTTATTTTGATAGTGACACATGTACATGTACATAACAGAATTTTTTATGGAAATGCGGGCACTGTCAACTATGCAGCATGCTCATTTGTCAAAACGCCATGCTGGAAGTATTCCCTTGCCTTTCATGTGTCGCTCGAAAAAAATCGATCATATCGCATATAGTGATGCATCGGTTATAGTGATAAAATCACGGAAATCAAAAGGGTACGCTATAGCCGATACAGACTGTATTGCACATTGGTCGTTCCAACTCCAGTCCCGATTCGAGATTCGGACAGGCGTTGAGCATTCTTTATTTCGAAAGACGTTGTGCAACAAAAATACATCATAGATTACCATGATTACTGCAGTACGTGCACTACATGCACACACAGCTACAGTGTCAGTGTAGACACGTGTCCAGGACCAGGTGTCCATAGTACTAGTACTAGTAGTAGACTCCATAGTGGACCATACTATTACTGTACTGAGCTGAGAGCCCCAGATAGACTGGGCCATGGCCAGACGGCCCAGAGTAGAGCCAGAGCGGAGCTGGTGCTTGCTACATCGCGACGAGCGTCGAGCGCCCAGCTAGCTACGTGTCGTGTTATTATGGGGAACACGACAGGTCACCGCGAGACAGCTCACAGCGCGACAACGCACAGCCGACAGCTCACAGTGTCGTCAACCATGGTCAACTCACAGCCTCGTCAACTCACAGTGTCGTCAACTCACAGCGAGACAAGTCACAGCCAAGACAACTCACAGCCACACCAACTCACAGCGCGACACAGCCTCACCAACTCACAGCGCGACAATTCACAGCCACACCAGCTTAGCAGTATGGTTACTTTTCATTGATTGGCTGGCTTCTGAATATCACCCTGATGCCACTGCTGGAACATGCTCTGGCTATAAAACCTCACAGTTGTCGGAATAGAAAAATAGTTTTTGGTTATGGATACGAGCGTCGTGGTGGGATCACTACACCATGGATTCTTTACCAGATTACGTTACGAAAACGCATCGAGGACGAGAGAAAGTAGTCTTTCGTGGATAGTCTGTAGCACATACTGAGTAGTACATCTGGTAGTGGTACATGCACATAATTATCATGAACAGTGGTAGTACTGTAGCAATAAACCGCGAGGAAACATACATGTAATAAAGATGGCAATAAAGCAGGGCTACAGCGGTTAGTCGATGAAAAACCCTACACCGAAAATTAATAATAATCATTCGAAATAAAACAATTTTATAAAGTCCAGGGATGATACGTCATGACATTTCGCTTGCATGCAGCCGTGTGTATGCATGTAAATGTACATGACATGTAGATCTACATGTATGTAGCCTTGACTATGTACATGTAGGTCGGCTTAGATTTTTAAATTGTAAGTCTACATGTCGTACATGAGTCATGACTGCACTGTCAAGTGTCATGTAAAATTAATAAAAGTCAAAACACATACTCAGTATATACAATGACTATAATTGTACTATGTCATGTACTTGGGCTGGTCTTCCGGTTCAACTGTGAGTCTGTGTGAGTCTGTGACCATAATCATGATAATGACCCCAACTGGAACTGGGACTGGAAGTGGAAGTCACTGGCTTGCATTAGCACTGGCGCGTGGCGGTCACTGTGGGGGAAATCCCTGGAAAGGTTAGCAGTGTACAGTCACAGTCCATTCTAGACTCTAGTCCAAGTACATGTAGAATGAAGCTCCGTATGAAGACATCCAACGCATTCAAAGAAGAAGCCTTGCCAGTTGCCTGATGAGTCGTTACAGCGGGAACGAAACGTAGATCTACATGACTTGTACATGTACGTCGCAGCTATGTCGTTGCTGTGTCATCTTCTATGTGCCATGCGTAGTACGTACTTGATGACATGATGTACCAGCCTGCTATGTCGGATACCGCCAACCATGCATCGACGAGACGCCAGGCGCGAACTGATGTCAGTGATGATGGTGGTGGTGAGAAGGAGAACTCTGTGCCAGAACTAATGTTACTTTGCAGCTTAGAGTGTGTGTGTGGGCAGGCGTGTGTTTACCGCCATATTGCCAGGTGTGTCTTTAGACTCTTTACCACCATATTTTATCAACTACAGACTACAGTAGTACTACTAGTACAGTAGTTGTAGTAATCACGTGATCACGGATGAAAAGAAACTAGCGTGTAGTCGTGTACACTGTACAGTCATGCCGGTCCATGTACAAATGTGGTGAGCCAAGGAAATACGGTACATGTATTCTAAATGAAAACAGGGAAAACAATGTGGCACACGTTATGCGTTTAGAGTCCACCAACTAAACCAGAGTTTGAACAGTCAGACGTGCATAACTATTATTTAGCACCAGACTGACAAGGAGTAATGAGACATTACGGCCCAATTTACGGGCCACTCGTTTGGGGTGACGCCTGTCCATGTGATGAAGTAATGAAATACTGTTACTAGTACTCAGCGCACGCATCCGGGGAGGAATCCCATGCCCGTCGTATACCGTGATGTAGACTGATTGGACTCAAGATTACACGGTCTGCCTTGTACTTTCATCAAAACACACACACACACACACACACACACACACACACACACACACCTTGACCTTGACTTTGTGGACAGCTGCCAGTAATTGGCTATGCCGCCCCGATGCGGCGGGGGAGGAGAGGAGAGCGTGCAGTCATGACGCCCTGCAAACATGTCGCCGGATGTCACGAAGCAAATGGAAACGTCTCCCACACTAACTGACTCGCACTCATGTTAAAAGTGGCCACGATCAACAGGCCTGCACCCGCCTCTCCGACAGTTGTGGCGGCTGAAGCCTGAAGCCAATTTGCAGCAGCGGCCACAGGCACTGCAGTGATGATCGCAGCAGCGCTCAGTCGAGACACACACACACACACACACACACACACACACACACACACACACACACACACACACACACACACACGAGTCCCATGCCAACACCACTCAGATATCTCATTATGCGAGCACAAACTTCATTAATTTTATTAGCCTACTCAAGCCCCACTGATGAAGACTCCAGCCCAAAAAACACAGAGTCTGTGTATTGAGCAGGGGGTGGTGCTTTCTTGCACTTGCAGGTTTGCCCAGTGGAAGGTGTGACGTGCCCCTCCTGGTGCACTGGTGTGGTCTGGATGGCTTGAGTCAGTGAAATGTCAAGTTCGTCAGGAAGCGTGTGTTCCACGTACAATAGGAGCAACTAACTTCATTTCCTTCTTGTAAATAATTGAGGCAGTTCCTGTCTTATTTTTTCTTTTTGTTCACTTTCCCCCTACTTTTTTGGCACGCTTTGTATGTGCTGGCAGACGCCGAGACCACCAAGGTCGGCTAAGCAGCAGGGCTAGCCCTTTCCCAAAGATGCTCGCCACTTTTTTTCTCAACTTTTTGTTGTCTTGGAAGAAATCGCAACTTTTGCAACTTTCTTCATTTTTATAAACTACTTCGCAACATTTCCGCAACTGTGTGCAAAGAAGCGCCCTGGAGGAGACCATTGAAGTGTCCGTGATGCTCCGCTTCAACAAGAAGCGCTGAAACATTGCATCAAATCATCATGGCAAGTGTACTTCTCGAAGTATGTACATGTACATGTACATGTATGTGGCAGCACTGAGCATGCCGCTATGTCCTGAATGCTGTGCGAAGGTACAACAAAAAGGACAATGACTCAGTCCCAATCTTTTCATTTTCCTATAGCTAATATGTTTTACTCTGTGAACATATGCCGGTTCATAATACTTGCAATGTGTTGTCTATTTCCACTCCTTTTTTGGTTAATTTTGGAATCATAATGCACAAAGAACTCGCTCATTTTGAGTTGCGATATCAGCAACTTTTGAGCTTTTTCTGAAAATATGGATGCGATTTCAGCAACTTTAACTTGTTTTGGCACAGTTGCGAAACGCATAAGTTGCGAATTTTTTTGGCATCTTTGGGAAAGGGCTAAGCAGGGCCCCACCATCACTTCCCGTCGTGATCATGGCGATTTATTCGGAAGCGTAGCTTAGTGGACCTATGATACATGTACATGTACAATGCAGCTCCTTCCCTAGGTCGACTACTGTAGGGTAGACTAGAGACAGTAGAGTAGAGCGCGAATACAGATCATCTTGGCCCCATAATGCCGCTATAAAGTATAATGATGGTTTTACAGGAAACCGCGCCACACAACAACAAGGAATAGTTTGCCACCATGAATGGCTTGTACCTACGAGTGCCTCTTCTGTTGCGCGCGGTCCCGGACTTCCTTCAGTTCAGCTATGCAGGTCACTCCCACCGCCACGATTTGCTTTTGGAAATGAATTTTTTCTTGGTCTGACACAAATATCGTTATGAGGGTAGGTCGCCTGTAACAGCAAGATATCAC